TGGGTGGAGTACTGGCGCCGTCTCCCAGCCCTTCCTGCGCTTGCCCGTGCTCTGGGCCTCCTTCCTGAGCAGTCGTCTCCAACCCTGCCCTGGACTTCGATCTGAAAATGTGATGTCCATGACGTGTAACGATAGAGTTCTCACGGCCTTGGGCGAGAGGACCTCATAGAATCCCGGGGGCTGAAGGGGTGACGGCTGGAGGAAGGTCTGGTGCGCCAGCGGCCCGAATAATAGCTTCACGTTGACCAACACGTTTTATTTAACTTATGATATACATCGTGACTATCAGCATGTTTGGAAGGAACACCCCTTTGGAGCAAGGACAGGAGTTGATCGACCGAGGCTGCGGGATTAGGGGCCAGCAGGATCTCAGAAGCAGCTCGGGCTGGGGTCCCCTCCTCAGGTCACCTGTCCTGAGCGCTCTGGGGTGCCACGTGGAACGCAGAGTTGTTCGGCCGTGACCTTGACTGCCCTAGATCTCCGCCCCTCACCTGTCAAGACCAGGTCCCTTAACCCCTTGAAAGGTCTACAGATGATAGATGCTCAGTTCTCTGGTGCTTCACTCCGGCTTTGCCAAAGCACAGCGCAGCGCCTAGCACACGCGGGTCTCAACTGGCCAATGGGTGAGCTCGACGGAGGAGACGTCACCAGAAAAAAAACGAGCGGGAGGAGGAGCGTTCCAATCAGAGAGTCATTGTTTCTATTGGCACAATGGGAGGCGCCGCCTTCTCCCCACCCCCTTCACCCCCTACCCTACGGCTGACTCATTGTCTGGGAGGAGGGTGCCCCGAACGGTTCTCGCCACCCTAGTGGCGCTCTGTGGTTCCCATCGCAGGGGCGCAGCAAAAGTGGGCCGAAGCACCACAGCGGAGGACTCGGTCACCCTGGGACCCAGGAGGAGGTCAGGAACGCTCCAAGGGGCGCAGCTCCCCTCGTGGGGCGGATCCGCTTCCAAACAAGCAGAGACCTGGCCCAAGGCTTTAGCTCGCTTCCGATAGTACCTATGACATCATCGCCAACCAATCAAATGGCCCGTTCTCTAGCCTCTCGCCTTCGCTTCCCGGAGGTGGGGATCCCGTGGGTTCCGCCTCCCGAGCGCCCCACGTGGCGATAGAGAGCAGGCTGGTGGGGGCTCCAGTTGGGTGCTAGACATTCAGTGTGACGATGCTCAATGTGTGGATGCTCTCGGATGGCAGGCGCGAGGCCGTTCATTACGCAGCCTAGGTTCTTGCGGGTCTACTCGTGGGGTGAGACGTTTGTAAAGGTGCTAAAAGTGGAGCACTGCTCAATGGGCATCAGTCGGTTCAGGGAGAGAGGAGGAGGCCCCTGGATCTAGCGAATGAGGGGCACAAAGCTGGACACCCACGTCTGAGAGAGAAAGATGTGTAGCGCTTGAATGAGAGATGCTGGAGACCCGGGGGGGAAGCACCAGTTTCAATTTGGCAATCTGGAAAGACTTCCCGAGGAAGATGCCTGAGCAAGGCCTTGAATGAGAGGCGGTCAGCATCTACAAGGAAAGGCCCTTGGAGTGCTGTGTAGACCTATTTGCATAAAAGGACCACAGTTGGGGGAAATCTAGCTCAGCTTCCTTCTCCCATCTTTAGGGCTGGCGCTCCCGGGAGCTGATTTGCCCAGCCCCACACTATCTGCTTCCTTGGTTGTCCCACCCGCACCTAGCCTGTACCCACCCGCATGCCGCAAGCCTCGTGGCTGCACCTAATCATACCTTCTGTAAATACAAAATCTCACTGGTGATCATTCCACCGGCCACCTCTTAATCCAGTCTTGTCTCAATTTCCTAGGGTCACAGCAAGTCCCCCCTCTGTATCCCCCCCTTTTGTCAGCTCTGGACTTCATCCTGGGTCCAGAGTGTCCAAACACCTGAATCTGGGGCTGCTGTGGGGCAGGAAAGGAGCCCTGATTGCATAGTAGTTGCATGTTGGGCTGCTAACCCTCAAGGCCAGCAGTTTTAAACCACCAGATGCTCCAAGGGAGGAAAGCGGGGCTTTCTACTCTGGTAAACAACTACAGACTTGGAAACTCACAGGGGCAGTTCTACCCTGTCCTACAGTGTCACTATGAGTCAGAATCGATGACAGTGAGTTTGGTTGTGAGTTCTGGTGGGACACGAGGTTAGATTGCAAAGGCTTATCCTTCGAGACATCTCCTGCTTTTTTCTCCCCAGCCTACTTGCCTCTTTCTTGCCAGAGATAAGGGCAGAGAGACCTGGCCAGCCCAGACAGCTGAATTAATTCTTAGACCTGAGACCTCCAATCCGCTGTCTATCACCCACTCAGATCTTGACTTGTACCATTAGCCTTAGAGAAGGCAGTGCTGTAAGAACTCCCCTGCTCTGCTCTGGGCGACCGCCTGTCTGGGCTACAATCTCACTTTACTTAAAACTGATGATCTGTGCTTTCCTCATCTTTGGAATGGCACAGAATTGCTGGAGGAAAACACAAACACGCTAATTGATCTTCCACTTGTGATCATAAGCCCGCCATATTGTATTGGAGGGCCTACCCAGTACAGCAAGTCCAGAAAAATAATAAAAGATATGAGTATTGGAAAATAAAACTAATGTACATGGAGCAGAATTGTGGGTGCAAATAAACCCCAAGAACCTACAGATGGATTAGAATGAGTGAAGTTAGCAATTTTGTTGGACACAGGTAAATACATAAAAGCCAGTTGTAATATCTCTCACTCTCTGCAGATATATCTCTCTGCAGCAGTGAGAAAATAAAATAAACTATGATACTTTTTGTATTATCATCAAGTAACATCAAGTGCTGAGAAAGAAATCTAATGAGAGATGTGCAAAGACTACAAACTTATTGAAAGAAAACCAAATGGGCTGAACATTTCTGTTCAAAGAGAAGGGAGATTCATTACTGTAAACATGCTGTCTTGGTTCTCTAGGGCTGTTATTCCTTAAATACTACAAATGGATGCCCTTAACAAACAAATTTTTTCTCTCAGTTTAGGAAGCTACAAGTCCAAATTCAGGGAGCCAGCTACCAGAAACACTTTCCCCGTTAGCTCTGGGTCCTTGTCTCCTTTCACTATCAGTGGGCCTGCTTTTCCTTAGAGAGCATGTGTCTTGGAATCAATCTTCCCCTGGGTCTAGGAGGTTCTCAGCGTAGGGACTCTGGCTATACTCCTGGCTTTCCTTTCTTTCTTGGTAGGTATTCAGGACCTTCCTTCTCTGCTCCCTTCTCCTTTTATCTCTTGTATGATAAAAGACGATGTAGGCCACACTCGAGCAAAACACCTTGATCAAGGCAGTTCTTCCCAAATGGGGAAGATTCAATGCAAGATATTTGACAAACCAGGTTCTAAAATGTATGAGAGCCAAGAATACCCAAAATGGCCTAGGAGGGGAAAAAAAAGTAGGAGGGCAATTTCCTCTACTATAATTTAACAAGCTGCAGAAACCAAAACTATGTGGTGCTGGTGTGACGATAGACAGACCAAGGGAACAAGGTTCAGAGACAGGCCAATGTATGTCTGCAGACTTGGATTTTGACAAGAGCTGTTTGAAAGAGCAGATTTTTCAATAATGGTTATTGGAGCAACTGGATATCCATTTAGGGGGGAAGATAAATGAATCCTATATTCCATACCACCAATCTAATCCTACATGGCTTTAATAAATACAATATAGACAGCTTCTAGAAGAGAAGACAGAAATTCTTTATGACTCTAGAGCATGCAAATATTTTTTTAACAGAACACAAAGTGTACCAGCCATCAAGGAAAATATCGATAAACAACTTTACACTACAAATAAGAACATCTTTTCCTCAAAGACACCAGTAAGGGAGTGGGTGAAGATAGCGTACTATGAAAACCCAAGGACTCACATGCTGAATATTTTCTACCAACCCATACAACATAGAAAGTTCAACAGATGAAGGTAAACAAGTGGGCATTTAGCTCAGAAGCAACAAAGCCCACATGGAAGAAGCACACCAGCCTGTGTGATCACAAGGTGTCGAAGGGATCAGGTATCAGGCATCATCAGAACAAAAAATCAAATCATTGTGAATGAGGGGGAGCATAGAGTGGGGACCCAAGACCCATCTGTAGGCAACCAGACATCCCCTTACAGAAAGGTCGCGGGGAGGAGACGAGCCAGTCAGAGTGCAGTGTAGCAACGATAAAACAACTTTCCTCTAGTCCCTAAATGCTTCCTCTTCCCCGCCCACCCCCCAATATCATGATCCCAATTCTGCCTTACAAATCTGGCTAGACCAGAGGATGTACACTGGTACAGACAGGAACTGGAAACACAGGGAATCCAGGACAGATGACCCCTTCAGGACCAGTAGTGAGAGTGGTGATTCCGGGAGGGGTGGAGGGAAGGTGGGGTAGCAAGGGGGAACTGATCACAAGGATCTACATATAACCCCCTCCCTGATGGATGGACAACAGAAAAGTGGGTGAAGGGAGACGTCAGACAGTGTA